AAACTAATAATATCAATGATGCCCGAAATGAAAACGTTAATGGTACACAAGCCCCACTAGTAATAGTACTATTTGATGAGTTAGATTACTTGTCAACTCTGGTTATCTTAATTATGACGATGTTTCGCCAACAAGTAACTTTATTGAATTGAAAGTCACGAAACATCTTCAGAATTAACATACACAGGTATTAAGTTGTCCAAAAGAGTTATCGAAAAACATGCTGAAGAGTTTTACGTCACTGATATCAAAAACTATATTAAAATGGTATTTTGTTCCTATAATGGCTCTGGGTGAGGGAGAGAGAGCATGATACATTATTCTGTTCCAGGACTAACATAATGAGTAGAAGATGAGTCATGGAAACATCAAGAGAGGTGCGGCTCTTGAGTAGGAAATAACGAGTTAACACGTGGATTCCATCAGCATTTTGGTAGAGGGGCAACGCACCTATACGTGAAATTAATATTTTTGACAAGGGACAACTGAAATTTAAAAAAGCAACCCACACCAGTGAGGTCACCCAGCACAAGGTACTTATTTTTATTCAAAAGAAGATTGCCGGCATTAGTGAAGAAAAAACACATTACATTACAAGCTTTTCTTGGGATAAAACGTTTTGCCATTTGTAGTTTTATTAAGGCATGTCAGGCTTTACACAGCGAAAAACTGTCCCAACAGAAGCTTATTCTTCAACCTGTCTTTTCTTTACTCAGCAGCAGCACTGATGAGTTCATCCAGCATCACCACCTACAACATGTGTATGAAACTCACATTCAGTGCGGAGGCAATACTGAGAGCCCAAGACACAATCCTCTTCTCGGAAAAGCGCGGCCCTCCCTGCTGCACCCGCTGGTAGATGAGTTTAGCTAAGTCTCCCCCGGCGCAGTACTCCAGCACGATGAAGAGGTCATTGCCTCGAACTTCTCCGCCCTGTAGTGAGACATGGATCGTCGAAGACATGGGACGCAGGAGGGGGCTCACATGAGGAGCATGGGGTGCACAATAAACTAGGCGCTTAAGCGGCACAACTAAACTAAATAGGGTGTCAGGGATATTGTTTGTACTGTGTACTAGTAGGTGAGGCTTGGTGATCACAGTGTCAGATTTTGGGAGACTAATCTTCGCTAAGACTTCAGTTATTGTGTACCGTCCATAACCCGATAATTATATTGTATTTGCACACTGGCTGTATATTCTACCACTGTACTGTATTACCACCAACCACTCGTGTGATAAATGCTTCGGCAGTTTAAAAAAAATAGGTTACACAAATAGATAATTGAGAGGTTGGTTACAGTTACTTGCTTAGTATCTGCCAGTAAGGATACTGCAGTGCTCCTTAAAGAATTAACGTTTTATAATGAGGATATGTAGGCTCACCAAGTACGTAACGATGTTGGGATGGTGGATGGTCTTCAGTAGCTGTAGTTCTTGCTCGGCCACAAACCTCAGGGATCCCGCCAACTGACCCAGGTTGATCTGAGCACGAGACACGGGTATAAAATACCGAGATGATGATGAATAAGACACTTGTGTAACTGGAGACAGTAGAAGACGAGGTAATCAAGCCCTTAGCACTGATTCGTCAGGACTGCGGTGAATAATGATTACCTTGATGAATCAAGACTACAGTGAACACCCTCATCTAGGCTGAGGGACTGATTGAATTGACAAAGCCATTGACTGACGAAACATCTTTAGAATAAAGAAACACAGGAGTTACACATGTGCCTTATTCATCACTAGATATAGGACATAGGCAGAAATATAACAAATGCATATAGAATATAAATACATGTATGAAAAGAACAAAAATATAAACTAGGTTAGTCTTGCATTATACTCATGGGGAACTCTACACTCAATAGGATTATACAGTGCCTGGAGAATGGAATTTTGATCCGAGGAAGAAGAGAGCAGCTTCATTTCCTCGTATCAGGATACCTTCATCGAAATAACCCTCTTAAAGAGACTAGGTTACTTTAAGAGTACATAATGAATTGTCTGTGCCCTTTTTATAACCTAACTTAAGGATTAGGATATCCTTGGTGTAAAGAATCATTACCGGAAAAAAAATTCACATGTGTCCCTGACTGACCTAATTAAGTTAATCAGTTTTGAGTGTGAATATATAACAACATATATATGATGTGTTCTCCCTTGACTGTTATTAAGCCCTCAAATGAAGGGTTTCTGAGCACTACCTCCCAATTTCCGAACCAGTGTATGACCCCTATGGGTTTAATGCTTCCCTTTGGTTGTGGTTACATAAACTGATTGGTTAATGAGGCTTAAGGCTTATTTATCATCTACACGAGGGTCAGTAAAGTTGCGTATCACCTGTTCACTACCAGATTACTTTAATCCCTAACATAAGGTTTAAAAAGTAACCTTACAGACCGGGCCGCGGGGGCGTTGACCCCGAAACTCTCTCCAGGTAAACAGCGAATAAAACACACACACACCCCAAAACACACACACACACACACACACACAAAAACACACACACCTTGCGTCACTGTTAGAATACTGGCACTCACTCCTGCAAGCTATTACCAGAATTAGAGAAAAAAATTTAGCATAGAAAAGGTGAAGATAGTGTTGACTAGCGAGGAGCAGCCTATCGAGGGGAAGCTTAGCGAGGGAAGCTAGTGAGGGTGACGTCAGACACTCCTAGAAGCTGAGACAAGCTAAATTTTACAACCTAATTACTTTCTGTGTTTATAAGTAAAAGTGATAAGTGCTAGAATCCTGTTGGTATTTTAGAAATACGGGTATTACTACTGATATTTATTAGCAGTATGAATACTTAGAAGTGGGGGCACACATACACACGAGCACACACACACACACACACACACACACACACACACACACACACACACACACACACACCAACACACACACACACACATGCACACACACATAAACACACACACATGCACACACATAAACACACACACACACACACACACACACACACACACACACACACACACACACACACAACACACACACACACCACACACCCATATACAGGATTTCACACCTTCCTGTGAAGTGATCCTCTAACCTTCCTCCCCCCCCCCGCCTCCTTTCCCTCCTCTCTCTTCCTCTCTCTCTCTCTCTCTCTCTCTTTCTCTCTCTCTCTCTCTCATCTCTCTCTCTCTCTCTCTCATCCTCTCTTCCTCTCCCTCTTCCTCTCTCTCTTCCTTTCTCTCTTCCTCTCTCTCTTCCTCTCTCTCTTCCTCTCTCTCCCTCTCCCTCCCTTTCCCCCTCTCTCTCCCCCTCTCTCTCTTCCTCTCTTTCTCTCTCTCTTCCTATTCTCTCTCTCTCCCTCTCTTCCCTTGTCACTCCCCCCTCTCTCTCTCACTTTCTCCCCTTTTTCCCCTCCTTCTACCCTCCCCTTCTCTCTCTTTCTCCCTCTCTCTCACTCTCTCCCCTTTTTTCTTTTTCACTTTCTCTTTTAATAAAAAAAAATGGTTGGGACTCGCAGGAATCAGGGATCAGATGACAATGGTACTGGTAGGGAGGAATGGATGGAGGAGCAGTGGAAAAGGATAGAGCAAGAATGGGAGAGAAAATTAGGAGAGCTTTCTGAAAAAAATGGAGAAAGAGCTCTCTGTGAAATGGGAAAAGAGGTTGGAGAAGGAGACGAAGAATTGGGAGGCACAAGTCGAAACTGCAGTAGCCAGGGTAAAGGTCCTAGAATTTGAGGTAAACAGGCTGAAGCAAGTCTCAGGGGTAGTGACCAGAGAAGACACACCATACGAAGCTGAGAGGCTGAACAGGAAGGCAGGAGATATGAAATATGCTAAGGTCCTATCAGCTGCAAAGAAGGGTCAGGGAGTGGAAGGAAGAGCAGATGGGTACAGATGGAGAGGAGATAAGTCGAATGCTGAGGCACAACCATGCTACAAGAGCCACTGGAAAAATCAAGGGAGAAATGGCCACATACAGACAGGAACCAGAGTCACAGAGGGAGAGGCAATGGGAGGAGGAAAGGGCAAAATCAGTGTTTATCCATGGGCTTCGGGAGAGAGAGGAAAGGACACACACTGAAAGGCGGCAGGAAGAAAGAAAGGAGATTGAGAAAATCATCACGGAAATAGGAGGAGAAGACATGGACGAGATTGTAAATTTTCAGAGAATAGGGGGTACTTGAAGGGGAGAAACCGACCAATCAAGCTGATTCTCAGGACAGAAACAGTGCAGAACAGGATCCTCCAAGAAAAACCACGGTTGAGAAGCTCGGAAGAGTACAAGAAGGTGTTCCTAGACAGAGACAGAACACAAAAAGAGAGACAGCAGCTGAGGGAGAGGACAAAAAAGTGAAAGGAGCTAGGAAAGGAGACAAGGATGGAACCAGCAGAGGTCAGTCACAGCAGAACAGACGCAGCAAGAGCAAGCACACACACAACTAATCTCAGAACCCCACAACCTATCACACCATCCCAACACACAATACAATCCATACCCACAGCTTCCACCCAACCCCCAACCATAGAATCCCACAGTATGCTACCAGGTCTCCCACCCTCACAGGCCACCCAAACCACAGTGTTGGAAAGGAAACTGAAGGTATGGTACACAAACGCTGATGGAATAACAAACAAGTGGGAGGAGTGGCACGAAAGAGTCAAAGAGGCATCACCAGACATCATAGCAATCACAGAAACCAAACTTACAGGTATGATAACAGATGCCATCTTCCCAACGGGATACCAGATCCTGAGGAAAGACAGAAGGAACAGGGGGGGGGAGGAGTGGCATTGCTGATCAAACATTGATGGAATTTTGATGAGCTGGAGAGAGGAGACAGCAGAGAAGAAAGTGATTGCATAGCGGGAACGCTTCACTCTGGAGGTCCCAAGGTGATAATTGCAGTGATGTATAACCCACCACAGAACAGCAGGAGGCCAAGGCAAGAGTATGACGAGAGCAATAGAGCGATGGTTGACACACTGGCTGCAGTGGCCAGAAGAGCTCATACATGCAGGGCAAAGTCTGATCATGGGCGACTTTAACCACAAGGAGATCGAATGGGAGAACTTGGAGCCACATGGGGGCCAAGATACATGGAGGGCTAAGATGATGGAGGTGGTACTGGAAAACTTCATGTACCAACACGTAAGGGACACTACAAGAGAGAGAGGAGAGGATGAACCAGCAAGACTGGACTTAGTATTCACTTGAGTAGTGCAGATATTGAGGACATCACATATGAAAGACCCTTGGGGCCAGCGATCATGTGGTTTTGAGCTTCGAATACACAGTAGAGCTACAAGTGGAGGGGGAAGCAGGAAGGCCAGGACGAATGAAACCAAACTACAGGAAAGGGGACTACACAGGAATGAGGAACTTCCTGAATGAGGTTCAGTGGGACAGAGAACTGGCAGGGAAACCAGTTAATGAGATGATGGAATATGTAGTCACAATGTGCAAGGAGGCTGAGGAGAGGTTTGTACCCAAGGGTAACAGGAATAATGAAAAAGCCAGGATGAGCCCATGGTTCACTCAAAGATTGCAAGGAGGGCAAAAACCAAGTGTGCTAGGAATGGAAGAAATATAGAAGGCAAAGGACCCAGAGAGAATAAGGAGAGCAGTCGTAGAGCCAAGAAACGAATATGCACAGATAAGAAGGAGGCCAACGTCAATAGGAAAACGATATAGCAGCAAAAGCCAAATCTGACCCGAAGCTGTTATACAGCCACATCAGGAAGAAAAACAACCGTCAAAGACCAGGTAAATCAGGCTAAGGAAGGAAGGAGAGAGACAACAAGAAATGACAGTGAAAGTATGTGAGAACTCAACAAGAGATTCAAAGAAGTGTTCACAGAGGAGACAGAAGGGGCTCCAGAAAGACGGAGAGGTGGGGTACACCACCATGTGCTGGACACAATACACCACAACCGAGGAAGAGTGAAGAGGCATCTGAGTGAGCTAGATACCTCAAAGGCAATGGGGCCAGATAACATCTCTCCATGGGTCCTGAGAGAGGGAGCAGAGGTGCTATGTGTACCCCTAACAACAATATTCAATACATCTATCGAACAGGGAGATTGCCTGAGGCATGGAAGACAGCAAATGTGGTACCAATCTTTAAAAAATGAGACAGACATGAAGCACTAAACTACAGACCAGTGTCACTGACATGTATAGCATGCAAAATCATGAAAGATTGTCAGGAGAAGAATGGTGGAACATCTAGAAAGGAATGATCTCATCACCAGCAGACAACATGGTTTCAGAGACGGGAAATCCTGTGCACAAACCTACTGGAGTTTTTATGACATGGTGACAGCAGTAAAAGAGAGAGAGATGGGTGGGTGGATTGCATATTCTTAGACTGCAAGAAGGCGTTTGACACAGTACCACACAGAGATATTAGTGCAAAAACTGGAGGACCAAGCAGGAATAACAGGGAAGCACTGCAATGGATCAGGGAATACTTGTCAGGAAGACAGCAGCGAGTAATGGTACGAGGCGAGGTGTCAGAGTGGGCACCTGTGACCAGTGGGGTCCACAGGGGTCAGTCCAGGACCAGTGCTGTTTCTGGTATTTGTGAAACGACATGACGGAGGAATAAACTCCGAGGTGTTCCTGTTTGCAGATGACCGTGATAGCTGATGAGGAAGAGTTCATTCGATCGAAGACCAGGCAGAAAGAATACAAAGGGATCTGGACAGGCTGCAGACCTGGTCCAGCAACTGGCTCCTGGAGTTCAATCCCACCATGTGCAAAGCCATGAGGATTGGGGAAGGGCAAAGAAGACCGCAGACGGAGTACAGTCTAGGGGGTCAGAGACTACAAACATCACTCAAGGAAAAAGATCTTGGGGTGAGTATAACACCAGGCACATCTCCTGAAGCGCACATCAACCAAATAAACTGCTGCAGCATATGGGCGCCTGGCAAACCTCAGAACAGCATTCCGACATCTTAATAAGGAATCGTTCAGGACCCTATACACCGTGTACGTTAGGCCCATATTGGAGTATGCGGCACCAGTTTGGAACCCACACCTAGCCAAGCATGTAAAGAAACTAGAGAAAGTGCAAAGGTTTGCAACAAGACTAGTCCCAGAGCTAAGAGGTATGTCCTATGAGGAGAAGTTAAGGGAAATCAACCTGACGACACTGGAGGACAGGAGGAGATAGGGGGGACATGATAACGACTTACAAAATACTGAGAGGAATTGACAAGGTGGACAAAGACAGGATGTTGCAGAGACTGGACACAGTAACAAGGGGACACAATTGGAAGTTGAAGACACAGATGAATCAAAGGATGTTAGGAAGTATTTCTTCAGCCACAGAGTAGTCAGGAAGTGGAATAGTTTGGGAAGCGATGTAGTGGAGTCAGGATCCATACATAGCTTTAAGCAGAGGTACGATAAAGCTCATGGTTCAGGGAGAGTGACCTAGTAGCGACCAGTGAAGAGGCGGGGCAGGAGCTCGGACTCGACCCCCGCAACCTCAACTGGGTGAGTACAACTGGGTGAGTACACACACACACACACACACACACACACACACACACACACACACACACACACACACACACACACACACACACACACACACACACACACACACTAACTCACCACTTTAAGCACTTGAAGTTTGTTATGTTTAGAGATGAGGTAGACCTTCGCGAAACTTCCCTCTCCCAGCCACTTAATGGTAGTGAAGTCTTCATACTGGATCTTGACGGGGAGGGAACAACAACATATATTTGCTTTGAAAGGGGGAAAAAAAAAAAGGACGCAAACAGGTAAGATCGAACCATGATATTTATATCAGAGAACGGCTTTATTTGCACAATATTTCGCTCAAATATAAAAAAACAAAAATCGTCAAAATGATCACTATGCGTTTATATATTCTAACCTTAACTATTCTATCGCATCACTGAAGCAAGAACTTTAAAGTAGTTTTTTATAGGTTGTAGGAGTATATGGAGTGGGAGTGAGTTAGACCAGCCGAGATTTGTTTAATCTTAAGTCTACCCGAAGTACTTTGCACAACAAGCTTAACTATGTATGACAGCTATATCATTAATGCTTTTATACAGTGTATCATCGGGATAAATTTGTCTTTATATCTCGTTAATGCAGCTTGAGAATACAGAACTTGTTGACTAACTGGACCACCAAGCCTCTTTATCCATTCTTTCCATGTTCATTTACATGCTTCCCAGTTACCCAACACTGTGTAAATTATTATTATTATTATAATCAAGGGGGAAGCGCTAAACCCGGAGGATTATACAGTGCCTGGGGGGGATGTGGAAGGCATTCAGGCTTAATTCGGGGAACTGGAGCACAGATCCAATTCCCTAAATCAAGAGCCCCTCAACAACATCAAGGAACCTTCCTTGAGGGGCACACTGTGTAAAGCCTACGGGTTTGGCGCACCTTGTAAATGTGATATTGGGACAATGATTTGTCCTACCCAAAGCATTATAAAATTATGAACAAAATACTTATTCCAAAACGTTGTCTAAGACTCGTTTGAATATTACATATATTAACATTTTTAATATAAGCATTAAACAGACATTATTCTAGACTTCTTTCTTATTTATTTAAAACATAAGAACATAAGAAAACGTACAAAGGAGGATGACAAAGATGATCCCATGTATCAGACATCTTCCCTATGAGGATAGACTGAGGGTCCTGAATCTGCACTCTCTCGAAAGGTGTAGAATTAGGGGGGATATGATCGAGGTGTATAAATGGAAAACAGGAATAAATAAAGGGGATGTAATAGCGTGCTGAAATTTCCAGCCAAGACAGGACTCGCAGCAAGGGTTTTTCAAGTTGGAAAAAAATTCAGTTTTCGGAAGGATATAGGAAAGCACTGGTTTGGTAATAGAGTTGTGGAAGAGTGGAACAAAACTCCCGAGTACAGATATTGAGGCTAAAACGTTGTGTAGTTTTTTAAAAAAAGGTTAGATAAATACATGAGTGGGTGTGGGTGGGTGTAAGTTGACCTTACTAGCTTGTGCTGCTGGGTCTGGTACAGTGGGTCCATCCTTGAGTGGGATGACCAGACTGGGTGGGTCATTGGGGTAATCGGGGGGGGACATGGACCTCTCCGCATGGGTCAGTAGGCCTGTTGCAGTGTTCCTTTTTCTTATGTTCCTATTTTGTAAAGAAAAATTAATTTTTATTTCACACTGGCCTGCAGCAACATCAAGGTGAGTACCTCATACCAGTGATTCCTTTGCTCTGAGGAAGCTGGTAATCCCGTTGTAATTAGCATGACAGCTAGCTTTTGAGGGTGAGCCCCGTCTGTCCTTGGCTGGGGGTTTAAACCCCCTGCTCACCACCCCACTTGATGCGTATGGGTTTGCCGTGTCAGTCCCGGGTGGGATGTTGGCCCGTCGCCGTCGCGCCCCAGCTGACATTCTCCTTCACATTTTAGCACCTGCACGTGCCCCAACAGGGCCCCAGGGGGACCGCCGGGTCCTGCAATGACATATTGTTTCAGACAAGTTTGTTGGGTTTTAACTATCCCTCCCGTGGGCATTAAGGATAAGATGGATTACAACAACTTTCGGTGTTATCCCTTTAAGAGGTTTAAAAGCCCGGTGTTATACCCGGTTTTGAAAATTTATTACAGCCGGATTTTCAGTACCCCTTAGGGAAGATAGTCATATGTTTCCCTTGTGCTGTAGAGACATAAAAAAAGTGCACACCACCTGCTGAAAGCTGTTAATCTTGTAAAATTAACCAGTTATGCGGGTAGAGGTGCAAGCGTTTGTCTCCTTCACAAATTAATCTTCTCCCCCACTAACAAGTACATTTCAACATGTTTACGTGATAAATAACGGGCGCAAAACAGTATACCCCCCTGTGCTGTACCCCTCGAGGTAAACACCTGCTGCAGGATCTGCCTCCCATGTCGCTTGGGCCCCCACGCTGCTAAATGTGCGGTCGCGGCCCGCAATCGTTAAAATAATTTCATATTTACCTCAGTGATGTTATTTGCAATTTATTTTAAAGGTGGACCGGAAAACAACAAAAGCCTCATCATAGACCAAAAATTGGTGTGGGGGTCAGAATATTAGAGAAGCCGCTCGGATTATTTGTTCAGTTTTTTGGAGAATCTTCCTGAGTAAAAAAAAATTGTGTTTTAAATTCCCCTCAGTAGTTTTTTCACATATTTAAAATTTAATTTGAAAAAACCCGGATGAGCGGCGGGTAAATTGGGGTACCAGAGAAATTTAAAAGATTAGATACAGGACGATTTTAAAATAATCAGTCCCTTGGGGGGATATTCTGCAAAAAAAAGATGTAAATTTGTGTATGAGAAAAGATTAAATCTCTGGTAGGACGAAAAACCTCGTCAGCCAAAGTAAATTTCTTTTCGTTTTTTTCATATTTATTTTATTTATAACTAGATAAACTAAATGTTTAACAAAAATTATTAAAAAAAACGTAGACTTGCTTAAATTTAATTATTGACGTTCCTCAACAAATTTAAAAAAAAGAATGATAGATTAAAAGAAAAAGCAGAAAATTATAAAAATTTTAGTAATTTTTTGAAAAAAATGTAAAGTTTTTTGGGGCGAAGTCTCAAGGCGAGCGAAACTATCGAGAAAAATTCCAAACCAAAAAAATGTGATAAGGAAGATATCTTTAGAAATTAAAATTGTGTGGCACTGAAAACTCCGCTAAAATAAGTTTTGTTAAATGTGTTTTTTTTGCTCAGAAACGAAAAAATTAAAGCCCGTATTTGGCCCATTTTTTTGGTTTTACGAGTTCCGTGATAACTCCTATGAGGAGCCCTGACCCCTAAAGGGGGCCGT